GAATGTTTACATGTCTCTTGTTGTTATCTCTTTAGCCTCTATTTTTATTTTGTTAATTGTGCCCCTCCCGTTACCCATACTTCAAGTCCCCTTCCCCTGTGCCCTTTTACTCTATGGGTCTATTAATCAGTCAATATTAAATTTTTCTGTGAATGATTAAATATCATTTGTATCAAAGTAAGATCGTATGATGTTTACGTTTCTAAGCTATATGGTGAAACAAAGTCTAGGCTATTATTTGTTAACTTGTATTTTCTTTCATATAGTCACTAAAATGAGTTCTACCTTTACTCTTTTTCCAAACCATTTGTATCATCAATACAACGTCGCGGTCATTATAATCATCGTTATCATCATGATCATAATCATTTTCACAATCATCGTCTTCGTCATCATCATCATTATCATCATCATCATCATCATCATCATCATCATGGATGGAACAAGAAACATGCAGATGTCAAATAATACGTCATTTAATACATAAAGTGCAACATCACTCATGCCCCCTAGCACTTGCTTGACAATACTCAATTCTCAACACGCATAAATGTTCCCGAAGGACCAGAAAAATATAACAACACTAAAGTGAAGTACGATGCAACTTTTTACAGCTGCCACACAGCACTTGACACCTGCTGTTGTGAAGTATAAAATCTGGAAACAAAGTGATCCCTCGGAAGCATTAATTACATGTAAAACAAAATAACATGAAAATTTCAGACTCGGTTTGATTGAGTCTGTACATGAGGAATAATGAATAAGTGTAACATCCCTCACACCCACTAGCGCCGACTTGAGCGGTACTCTGAAAATTTGTTCTCCCGTGGGTTTGTGATCATGAGCGAGCATGGAAGCGAACTAAACAGACAGTCAGTCAGTCTTTTTCCTTTAAAATAAGTGGGAACTACTCCTTGTGTCAAAACATATTCAAAGGTCGATTTTGAAGATATTTCGAGGTTTATCTGCTGATATTTCTAAATTCAAAATTTCACCTTTTTGTGTTTAAATGTTGAATTCTGCATAAGCCGGTTTAAAGGAAAAAGTCGCAACAATTCGCTAATTAGTTTCGCTTATTACTTATAATATTCAGTACATAACATAAAACAAGATATACATGTTTTATAATATATAGATAAAAAAGTTAATAAGGAAACATAAATCATCCTGCCAAATGATTCAAGGTTACATATTAAGTGGCTCACTGACTGACTGACTGTCTGTTTTGTTCGCTTCCATGCTCGCTCATGATCAAAAATTCCGGAACTTCTAAATTCTGAATTCCGGACGATATTTTCGAAAAATTAGAGTCAAGTCAATGCAATTTTACCTCCAAAAACCGGAAATATCCAAAGGTGTGAAATACATTGTAAACGCTGCAGGAAGATTTAATAGATCTCCCTATCGATTGTTTACTAATTAGCGGTGACCGTGTAATTTGACACTCGTTAAAATTACAAACTGTGAAATTGTATATTTGAAGTGATGCGGTTAATCAAAGTAATTTACGGCGGTCAGTTAATTTGAAGTGTTTATTAGCGGATTAAATGACAATGACAATATATGCATCAAAAGTCTTTAGGGATTTTATAGCATTTGATGTAATAATTAGTTAACTAGCATCGGACGATATGTAACTTTATGCAATTAACAACATTTCTACAAACTGATAGAAATTCCGAAGCATTTGCAAGTAAGATAAAAATGTATTCTTTTTATTCACATCTTTATCTTGATTAAAAGACTATTATATATGATATTACAGTAAAGGCCACTTCTTCCTTGACATTTAGTGATATTAAGTGGCTTAGTCTTGTCCGCATTATCATAAACCTCTGAATTCCGGAAATTCAAAATTTGGTGGACTGTAGATTGCACTTTCTAGTACCGTCCATATACGGGTTCAATTAACCAAGCCTGCAACATTTTCAATTTTGTCGTTTTGGGCGTTCTTAAGGGATTCCGTTTTTTTTTTCCTTTTTTATGAATTATTGCCATTAACTTTCTTTTTCAAACAGAAATCTTATGATGTTTTATTCAATGTAAAAATCTTTTCACAAAACATTGTACGAGAGGAATAATTTAAGTTAAAGAATATATTAATAACAAATGATATGACGCCCGTTTAAATCAGAGCCATTATTTGCCAAAGGTTTATTCTGATATTTTAACTTTGATATCAAAACATAACCATCACAACATGAGTTCAGCAAATGCATACACTGTGAAACATAGAATATGGATCAATTGATGTGATGCAAATTTTGTCAGACTTAAAAATTTCTATAATTAAACACCTTCATACGAGATAAAAAAAAATATAAAAGCACATGAATGTATTCAAGTTTACCAATATGTATAAAAAAAATGACAATAATAAAAATTGTGTAAAACTTTGTGAATCCAATACCATTCTTATAATTAATTTTCATAAATCACACCGAAAATGTATATAGACATAATATACAATGATTGTTATTATTTAAGATTGTAGCTACATTTGTACAAAACAAAGGATCATATCAACAAACCTATGTTTAAACATTAGCTGTTTCCTTCCATCAACAAAAAAGTAAAACCAAAATCCCTTAAGAAAGCCATATACGGCAAAATTGAAAATGTTACAGGCTCGGTTTGATTCAGCCTATTCATGGACGGTACTAGAAAGTCCAAGTTAATGTCCTGGCCCCCTAGCATCGGCTTAAGCAGAATTCAACATTTAAACACGAAAATGGAGAAATTTTGAATTTAGAAACATCCGCAGATTTGTTCATACAAACTGCATTCATTGTATGTTACATTTTTCGTAGAACAGTCAGTATTACTAGTATTACTATGAAAATAATAAACCTTATTAACACTGGTAAGAATATTGCTTTCAATATTAGAGCTGCAGTGTGTACATCTACTGCTATTACGTTTAGATGAACAATTAGCGTTACTGTTAAGACCAATTTTTAAGATTTTACGGAATTTTAAATGCACCTGGAGCTTTTGCACTAAACTTTTAGACGAACGTTTACATGCCCATTGTGCTTTAAAAATGCTATCATTTTCTTTTCTCAAAAACATTTCTTTTATGTTTTATATATTGTTACTTTTCAAAAAAAATCTCGTTTACCATAATCTTTTGCTGATTTTATCATGTTGGCAATTTGTATAATTGTAGTGAATTAGTATTTTGTATCGAAGTCAAAATACTACTTTGTTTACAATTCATTACTGAATGTTCAGCCCTACTTCTTCAGTTGTTAAACATATAACATACTCTAAATCTATTATCAAAACATTATTAACCATAGATTTGACATTTCTAAAGTATTAGAAAAATATGTATTTCTAAGGCGCCTGTAAGTAAATCTAAATATTACAAGTTTGAGGTAAATATTAATTAAACTCAGTATCAGAAAGGAATAACACTGCTCCAGTTATTAGTGCATAGAGACTCAGCTTGTATTATTATCAAAATCTAGTGATAACTTATCTGCTATAAAAATCGTTTGAATGACATTAAGACGGTTTTATGTTTCAATATTTTATTTGCAGACATAATAGCAAATAATGGGCAAACATTTTCATTGTTCAGGCAGACATAATGGCAAACCATGTGCAAACTTTTTCATTGTTCAGGCATACATAACGGCAAACCATGTGCAAACATTTTCATTGTTCAGGCAGTCATAATGGCAAATCATGTGCAAACATTTTCATTGTTCAGACAGGCATAATTGCAAATCTTGGGCTAGTATTTTTCAATATTCAGACAGACATAATGGCAAAACATGTAAAAACATGTTCAATGTTGAGACAGTCATAATGGCAAATAAAGGGCTAGTGTTTTCAATGTTCAGACAGCCATAATGGCAAATCATGGGCAAACATTTTCAATGTTCAGACAGGCATAATGACAAATCATGGGCAAACATTTTCATTGTTCAGGCAGACATAATGGCAAATCATGGGCAAACATTTTCATTGTTCAGGCAGACATAATAGAAAATCATGTGTAAACATTTTATTATTGTTCAGGCAGACATAATGGCAAAACAAGGACACACATTTTCATTGTTCGGGGAGACGTAATGGCAAATCATGGGCAAACATTTTTATTGTTCAGGCAGACATAATGACAAACCATGAGCAATCATTTTCATTGTTCCGACAGACATAATGACAAATCATGGGCAAACATTTTCATTGTTCAGGCAGACATAATGGCAAATCATGGGCACGCATTTTCATTGTTCAGGCAGACATAATGGCAAACCATGGGCAATCATTTTCATTGTTACGACAGACATAATGGCAAATCATGGGCAAACATTTTCATTGTTCAGGCAGGCATAATGGCAAATCATAGGCAAACATTTTCATTGTTTAGGCAGACATAATGGCAAATCATGGGCAAGCATTTTCAATGTTCAGGCAGACATAATGGCAAAACGAGGACAAGTATTTTCATTGTTCAGATAGACATAATGGCAAACCATGGGCAAACATTTTCATTGTTTAGACAGACATAATGTCATAATCATGGGCAAACATTTGTTCATTGTTCTCGATGTATGCAATCAATTAACACAATTAAGTGTGATTGATTTGAGACACAGCTTTTTTAAATAACATCAACACAATAGATTTAAAGGAAAACAATGCCGAGTAGTAGAATATTGGAAAAGGTTCATGCTTTTCTTTTCAATACTGAAATAAATTATTTAACCTATATATATTTATAAGCAAAACAGACTACTGAATAGACTGTTGCTGAGAGTTATAAATATCACTATCTGCCCATTGCTGTTTTCGTTCCTTCTATTCTCCTATTTGCACTTACAGCTGTTTTGCAGTACATAAATTTATATTCGTCATTTCGTTAAACGTTAGTAAGTAAAAAAGCCATTTATTAGATAATATTTTACGTCCACTGTGTGTGTGCAATGCGTTTCACTGTTGTCTTTAGAGACCAGAATTCTCTAATACTGTATCTAAAATTTCAAAGGGTAAATTTCAATTAATGTTTCTTTGTGCTTGCTCTGCTTTACTATGGAAGCATGTCATTTCTTTCAATGTGATCATTTTGATGACGAATCATGCAGATTATTGGCTAATTCACAGCTGGTAAGTATGATAAAGACGTCATATCTATTCATCATGTTCAAGCACCAAGCAATTGTCAACCTTTCAATATAAAGACGACGCCTTCTCTGCAATCTTCATCGATTTTCTACTTGAACATTTACTTGGTCTTCTGCATGTATATTCCCATAATCACCCTGAATCGAATGAAACAGTCGAACAATATCTTTTAAAATCCGATAGTCACGCATATGTCTCAGCGCATGCGTGTCGACATTTCGTAATGACGTATGCATGACGTCGTTACTGATATGGGGTAGCTGCGCTCCTTTATTCAATATGGCCATTTTCAGTTGACATAACAACGGGTAGATCTTTGACTCTATATGTCTAAAGTGACTTGTGTAACTTGGAGAGTAAGCAGAATGCTCTTCGTCTGCGAGCATTTCTTCAACAAATATGGCGGTTACTGAAACCCTTCTGTAGTCCTCCCGAAGTCTTTCAATGAACTAGAATAAAAGACAATTACATCGATAAAACTAAAGGAAGAAATAGCAAAAATATGATGACATTCTTATACATAAAAAATATAAAGTAGTTTGTACTTGATTTTCTTAATTTTTCAAAAATAAATCAATGCTGTTGTAAACTTTTTCGGTTACGATCGTGAAATTAATGTTCAGAGAATAGTGTATGTGCATATCTGTACATGAATATATGTTGTTGCTTATGTTGTTGTTGTTGTTGTTGTTGTTGTTGTTGTTATTTGTTATTTTTAATATTTATATTATTATCATTTGTATGGGGGTTTATTTTTTTCTACATTTGTTGTCATTTTTATATGTCGTATTTCTTCGTTCTGTTTTTATTAAATGTTCTTTTTAACTAAAATAAATTCCCTTTTCCAAAATGATCAATCCTTTGGTTGACTCAGTCTTTTTTTCGTAAAGAAACTTATCAACATTCTTTTAATAAAGGGACTTTTATTCTATCGACAATTGCCACATTTTAATTAAGACTATTTAAATCAAAAACATACTTTCCAGCAATTAATTTTGCTGTGCAAAACCCTTTAAAACAATAAGTCAATACTCTTACGGATTCACCAGGAATTATTGCTATTTATTTTCATATAAAAAAACGAGAAAATATTTTATGCCAGGCCTAGCCGAAGGAATTAAGGTGAGACATTATTAACAGATATTCATGATAAATTCTTTGACAGGGAAGCCGTGCAACAATTGCTTTCTCTTTTCTTCTTTGAGAAATGCGTACAAGGAAATAAAATACGATTGCAAGAGGATTGGTTTAAAAGAGTTTTTAGTCATGAAGATTGTAAAGTACTTGAACTTGGTGTTCTAAATAGGGGATAAAAAAAATAATTACCGCTTTTCTTCAATTTGATTATTTGTGATAAAAGTCACGTTCAAATTTCTTTCTGCTTAACAAAAGGAACACCCATGTAATGACTTAAAGATATACAAGAATTTATATTTTGTCCATGTATTATTTTTATTTCTGCTTATTGTTTGTTTGTTTGTTTGTTTGTTTGTTTGTTTGTTTGTTTGTTTGTTTGTTTGTTTGTTTGTTTGTTTGTTTGTTTGTTTGTTTGTTTTATAAGATTTCAGTAAAACTGTTTCAAAGTTATATACATGTATTTTTGTTAAGCACTTAGTAAATTAGGTTATAATGTTATAAAAGTACTTTTTAAAATCATTAATGTTTTTGTTTTGTTTTGTTTCTATAAGTAGTAGACGAAATTACTTTACATTTAAATATTTTAAGATAAAGTCTGTAATTATTACGAAAAATATTTCACATTGTATATGTTTGTTAATACAAAGTTACGTTATTTTATATTTTGTATGGAACTTAGAAACTATATATTTGTATGGAACTTAGGAACTTTTGCTTAGGAACTAAGTGAAATATGTTCACATTTAACGTACTTATACTTTATCAAATTATTTCATATTAGTATATGTTCATGTACAATGTAATTGTCTAGTAAAGTAAGTTCCCGTTATATAGTATTAGAGAAAATAATAATCTAAATACGCAAAAATTGTTTACAGTACCCGTGTTCGTATATTTAGTGCTCTATGATCTGGAAATCCGGGAAGTGTCGTATTTTCGTCTAAAAAATCTTGTAAGTCTGTGCTTTGAATTCGTTCGTCTGCCTGAAAATGGTATAGAATAAAATAATAAGATTTCATTGTCCTGACTGTGTTCTCACACATGCACATGTACATGTTTGTAAACATATAATTATAATCTTTCAGAAAGATAGATATATCAATTTAACATTTATCAATAGATTTTACTTTTTGTAGTATTCTAAACAAGTGCATTTCTATAATATGAAAAAAATACAAAAGACTGAGTCAAATGTATTTGTAAGCAAAAGTCTTTAAATGATGGCAAATGACTTCATATTTGACAATAGGGTATTTACTCTTTAGCACGGTGTGCCATTACAAAATATGCATTATAACCGAATGAATAAGTCGTCGATGAACTGGGCAAATATTCCCCTCTTTACATAAATGTACATTATAAATCATTAATAATATTGTGTATTATAAATGTATGGTCTAACATAGGAGCATTTTCAATAATACACGTATATAAATTTCTTAATGACAATCTAATAACTTTTATCTACAAATGTAATCTTCCGAATGTTCAGGGAATACAGTATAAATTCATGTTAAAATAGATGATGGTATAAAATTTGTAATCGAGTTTAATCAAAAGACCAACAAACATATGAGCCGCGTCACGACAAAACCAACAAAGTGGGTTTGCGACCAGCATGGATCCAGACCAGCCTGCGCATCCGCGCAGTCTGATCAGGATCCATGCTGTTCGCTATCAGTTTCTCTACTTTTAATAGGGTTTGTAAGCGAACAGCATGGATCCTGCGCTGGTCTGGATCCATGCTGGTCGCAAACCAATTATGTTGGTTTTGTCATGACGCGGCTCATTTGAGCGACCCAAAGATTCCACGTGTTATGCTAAAATAGCACAGCTATTGCGTAACTCTTATAGTAAACTTTCAGAAAAGCATTACTAGACTGGGAATAGCTTGATTGAATAAAGGCACTTTAAGCCTCAGATTTTATATTTATTTTTCAAAAGGTTTATAATTTTTATGTACCTTTATAGTATCCAAAATTTACTCATTGGCCAATTAAAGTAACCATCACATTCATCTGTTGCTTTTTGGCAATAAGCACAGTTATGGTGACTAAGTTTTTATAGGAAGTCAAAATACTACTTTATTTACATTTTGCTACTTTCATTACAAATTATTTCACATTTATCGCTATTTTTTCAGGTACACAAGTGCTGACATTTCTCTACAAACATTATTGCTCCGCGCCCACAGGCGCGGAGCTATTTGTGTTTACTATTTTTTTTGTCCATGGGCCCGGATTTGAGCAATAAATCCTTTCGATTAACAGCTAAAAGTAAATCCGCATTCAAGAACTCCTTTCGATTTCTATATTGGTTTCCCCGTGATTCGCAGCATGTCATATTAATGAATGAGAACCGGAAAGCAGTTCTGCTGTTACATAAATTCGAAAGCTATAAATAGCCATAAATGTTACTTCGGTTATAAATTTGTTATTTCCCTTTTTTAGTAGTACATGAAATTATAATTTGTTACATTTTGAAATACATTTACCCACAGCATATCAAGTATACTATTAATGATTGAATTTGTCAATATAAAGAAGATTTCAGGCATAAAATTTTAACAATTTTGCTTTTGTAATTTATATTCATGAAATTAAATGTTTAATAATAACATGTTGATATATTGGTTGTTTTGAAAGTGAAAATAGCTTTTGTTGGCACTAAAACAGACTTTAAAAAGGATTTTGCCATTCATGAAATGTGCATAAAACTTTGCAACAGAATGTTTTTGGTCTTCAGAAATGTAGCACATTCAAGGTAAATATTCTTATTGTTATCATTTTTATTTTTGTTTATAATTGTCCTTAAAATATAAACCTGGAAGTGTACTTTCAAATGGTTCATCATTTTACAATAAGAGCTTTGTTGTTATATGAATTTTGGCCTACTTTCACTTTGGACAGACTTTAGTGAAAACAAACATGGCTGACAAAGCGGAATCACCTTAAGCATAGGCTATAGATAGATATCATGACAACAACAGAAACTTTGATCTGCAGTTTGAACATGAAGTGTAATGTTTTTTATGAATGGTTTTAAAGCAATTCAACAAAAAAATATATATTGATCTCCCTAAAAATTAATTAACAATAGTTTTTTTTATATATTACCAATGTCAAATAGCTTTCATATCTTTGTCTCGCACGAATATGATATTAGTGAATTTCCTCATACCTACCTAAAATTCAGGTAACAGTCTTCTATTATATTGATAAATACTGTATCACCATGTAACGCGTGTATAACAAACAAAAAAATCCTGAATTTGGTCTTTTTGAAATTCATCCCATTTTTTCATTCCAGAGTGTGTTCTACTTTCAGTATTGAAAGAAACCATTTTTTTTTAATTTGACATGAAAAATATGCATGTAATATTACTATATTATAATATTAGTCCCTTTTGTTACTATTTGTATATTTGTTAAAATTATAACAGACTTTGATATTTCTATCATCTTCTGTTACTGACTACAGTAGTGACACAAACAGAACACAGTACAGTCATGTCACATAACATTTACAAGTCTTGTTTGTATTCAATGGAATTACTTTCCTTACCAGGTAGGCATCAGTGAAAGCATTTTTATATTAAAATTTTCCCCCTCTTTTTAATTATGGACAGTGCATAAGATAAGTATAATTATGCAAAAAATGGTTTACAAAACATTCGGAAAAAATCTACAATAGTACCTAATCTGAATATAACATGACCTGTGCGTAGGAATAATTTGGTAAGGTACCTGTAATGAGCACATTTTTTTGCGCGGAGCTTCTCAATTGCTGAATTGCAGCAACATTTGTACTTGTTTAAACAGTATCAAATTCATGTTTGCCCTTTCTAAAGAAGTAAAAACTATTTGTTTCTGAGGCATTTCTTGGCCTTTAATACTTGATTATTTAACAATTTTCAAATAAGATTTTATTATTCAAAGGACCTTTTTTATAACAAAAGATTTTGTATACTTGGATCCTATATATAACCGAACAAATATGATGTTTTTTCGCTGTAACTTTTATTTAAAACAATAAAGAAGAATGGAATTTTACCCAAATAAGTTTGGGTTCTAAATAAAGGTTAACATTATTTTAACAAATATTAAATTAAACATTTGACCGTAGAAATGTGTCTTTAAAGTAGGTCATTATAAGAGAAAAACAAATCGTGTAGACAGCTCAATTTACCGGACATTGTGTTTTAAATTTTTTTGAAGTCCTGAATTGAAATTAATCTTTAAATAATCAGCAAGGAAACAACGACTATTGGAAGGCAAGGTTAAGAAAATTGAAAAAAAAAACAGTATTTCAATTCAGCCATGCTTGTTATGAAGAGGCCAATATAGGGGTGTAATCAGGGTCTTTCAATTTGAAAGACCCTGGTGTAATTGAAATCACCACTATTAACTCACTAAACGTTTTCATTCTTCATGATCCTTAAAAGTATATGACACATTTTGATATTCAAATGAAATTCTGTTCTTTGTCATACAGTTTCCTTTTGGTCATCATGTAGCATGTTGCAAAAGCCATAAAGTCTATTTTTGTACATTTCATGTAGAGTTTTTTCCCATGGGCGTAACCCGTTACCTTATATGTTTTTAATTTGCATTTCTTTGTAAAAGACAACAACGAGATATTGTTTGAACTAAATTTAAAGTTACCTTTTAACATTAGAATATGTAACGATTGTCTCCGGAGATAACGATGAGAAGAATTAAAAGTAAAACCTATCTAAAATAACCCATTAAGGGCCTCATTATAAGGGAATGCGCAGAACAGATTATTCCCCCGCATGGCCAGGTCGTGATATAACTAGTAAACAAAAAGGGTATGTTAGTAAATAAAGAACTGAATCGCCAATATTTGCCTGAGAGGGGTTTTGTTGTTATTTACTTTAAAATAGAAAGTGTATGTACGATTCAGACCGGATGATTTTCTAATCGAAGCAAAAATAAAATAAAGCCTTATTTGTCAGGAATAGATTTTGTCCGGTTAACTGATTGTCCGGTAAACATGAAGGATCCCAGTAGGTACTTTCTGTTAAACCACCATTTTAACATATATAAAGTGTTCTGATTATTCAAAACTGCCTTAAGACCCCCAGTGCTTTCAGCGCTTTGATCTGATAAAATTGTATGAAATTTGGACTTAATGCAGAGAAATGCAAACAATTTATTTTACCATTTGATCTCTGACTGAAGTCGCTTTATCTTCTACATTTCCCGCTTTAATCCCGAGTTGCCTTGCCAACTCATTGTCAGAAATTAGAATAGTTTCTAGTAACTGTAAAGGCAGTTCCCGGTTTGAATCAAGGGATCCCCTACAAGGCTGCATCCAGTGCGGTATTGGATTTGCACGTGCTTGTGTCATCAAGATGATTGAAATTAATGACACCGAACATACTGAAATATATAAGAAACTTTTGAAATAAAACATAAAAAACTTAAAATCATACTAGGCGTAGTATAACATTTTATATTAATTGCTACTTTCATTAGATTTTCTTTCTTTTTTTAAATCTATAAGAATCTAATCCTAGCTACAGATACAGACAGGAACAATTCGAACGATAATAACTTGAAACATTTAAAAATACTTTCACTGTAGCCGAAGAATATTTGAATGTTGATTTAGAATATGAAAAATGAATAGAAATTTCGTCAGATCAAATTTTATATTTCACACACATACTGATGAAATTTTGCGGGCAATTTAAAAGCTGTCGTCTGCAATTCTTTTTCGGTCAAAGGTTCATTTGTTTATACAAGTCTTACTCTCACAATGAAATGTAATACATAAAATTCATATACATTTAAAGATCCTGTCACAATATTTCTTATGATTTTATATCATAATATGATGCTCAAATTAAGATTTATCAATTTCGTAAATTCCAAAAAGCATTATTTATAAAGATATTACCAAATTTTACATTTCATGTAAATAAAAGGAGGTGATAAAGATATTTTCTATATAGACTAAGTCATTTTTTCAATAAGAAATGAATGCATATATTTTAATGATTTATATATTGTATGTAACAAATATTTGCAGTACATATTTTACATATTCTTCAATCTTTGAAAATTGTTTTATAAGCATAATTAATAACAAATATATATAAAATTTAAGTGTGGTATACTACCTCAATTACAACATACAGGATCGTTAAAAATATGTAAGACCAATACACTGGGTTTATAAGAGACATATGTAACCAGGATCACATATGATACTCTTGAATGTTTGTACATGATGCTTGTGCTTTTATTTTGTTTTCTGTTTCTTTGTGTGTGTTTTTTTTATTTGTTTTGTTTTTTTTTTTTTTTTTTTTTTTTGGTTGTTTTTTTTTTGTTTTGTGTGTGCTTTCCCTAAAATACTAAAACATTCTACAATGCCAGTTTATTGATGTTTTTCTTACATTGTAATTTGTAATATTGTCTTTTGATATTTTAGGACGCCCGTTATTTGTTAAATAAATGTAAGGATATTCTATTCTACAATGCCAGTTTATTCACCCGTTAACATAGATTCTCTGCTTTTGGTCAGTAAATGCTGATTACGCTTATATTTTCCGATATAATTATAATTGTATCATTGGCGTAAATGATACTGTATCCAATATAATAATAATTAATCTGGCACATAAGTTATTATTAAATCAGATGACCTGAATTTGAAACGAAAATCACTCTTAGTGAACTTGTACATCTCTCAGTCTGGACAAAACTATTTGAGCCGCGTCACGACAAAACCAACATAATGGGTTTGCGACCAGCATGGATCCAGACCAGCCAGCGCATCCGCGCAGTCTGATCAGGATCCATGCTGGTCGCTATCAGTTTCTCTACTTGTAATAGGGTTTGTGAGCGAACAGCATGGATCCTGATCAGACTGCGCGGATGCGCAGGCTGGTCTGGATCCATGCTGGTCGCAAACCCACTATGTTGGTTTTGTCGTGACGCGGCTCATTTATCACTTTCTTTTAAACATTTTATTTCTTTTCTAAACATTCCAGTACTGTCACACCGCTCACTTGTAATATCTTTACGTTCAATATAAGTTGCAGAAAATAAATTTTAAAAAGTAACACGACAATAAAAAATAAAAAATGAACTTGAATATTTTGAAAAATTATAAACACATTTTACATCTGCAAAAAAATATTAAAATCTTCATTTTAATAAAAACCTTAAATAACCCGCTGACTGTTTTAAGACTAACATGAAGTCGGGCTGTTTTATTCTGTGTTTTGGTTATAAGAAAGCATATCTAATTTTAAGTATCCCTCAATTTTTTTTATAGCTTGACCTTGATATACAATTTTTTTAACATCTGAATTTTGAGCACAATTGAATTTAACACATCATAAAATAGTTTTAGCCTGGGTACAAAGAAGTTAGGCTACCATAATCTGAAAGCGCTCTGGAAGCTATTCCTCCATCTTTAATCAGAGCGAACTTTAATTTTACGGTCAGTTTTTGAAGATACCAGAAAAAAAGTTGATCTTTAGCAATGACTATTACTTCATTTGCAATTTTTCGTAATATTAGTAATGAAACTATTTTTAAAGAAAATTCATTGTTAATGGTTTACAAAGTGTTCCATGTTTTTATTTTTATTTGTTCAACTAATGAACCGATTAGATATCTGCACCTTATTTGAGTGCGTGTTCTTGTAAGCCATTGCAGATAATGCAAAACTATAGCTATCAACACCTTATTTGATTGCAAATTAGTGTTAGTTACAATGTACTTCATACCCTGACAGTGTGCAAATAATGCTAAAAACGTATGCAACATATTTTATCAAATATTGAAAAACTTTTTTCTTCCAGTTATGTCCCTTTTTCCAAATAACATTGCTGTAAGTTTTATCATTGAAGCAAAATATATGTCGGATAATATTGTTGTAAGCTTTGCATAATGATTGAAAGTAAAATGGCAAAGAATAGTTTGAAATAAAATGAGATGTCTGTTTGGTTGGTTTTGAGTTATCTGCTCTTAAAATTACATAATAAAGAAAACAACTCATATCTAAGGGCAGATAAATCAAAAATAGGGATCGTGACCACCAATTCTTTGCAAACTTGTTTCTATAATGTTTTTCTTTAACCATGATCTGTTAGATCAGTTTATATTTTTCCTTCTTTACCTATGTACAAAATAAAGAAAATAAAGGAAATGTCTTTAATATTTGAGATGATAACTGGAAAACGCAAGGATAATGGCTGAAGAATTCCGATAGTTTTTAACATCCACCGAAAACAAAGACTGGCACCCTTTAGTGTTATTCAATAAAAATACGTTTTGCACTTTTTTGCTCTAAAATGTCAACTCAATACCTTTCAAATACTTATTTGATAAAAAAAAAAATCTAAATATGCTCTTTAATTTCTACCTCCTTCCCCCCTCCCCCCCCCGCCCATTTTCTTAATCACTCTGGCACAGACATTTGATTATAGAAAATAATTTTAAAAACAAAAACCGAGAATCTTATCAAAAAATGTCTGCATTAAGTTATACAAAATCTAAACTGTCTATATATTTGAAATTAGTCCACAAACAATGGTCGTCAACCATGTTTTACTGATGCATAAACATCTTATATTAAATGTGTTGAAAGCTTCAAAAAATCTTATTTGTAACAATTTTAAGTCCAGTTCCTAGGACTTATTGAAACTGGTGCCTTGTGCCTTGTGATTATGCAGTTATTTTAAGATTTATATTAAATTTCGATTTGATTGACGGCAATGTACAAGACTTGAGCTAAATACGCGGCAATAGGATCATAAATAAACGTTAATTGACCTGACAAATTGAATTAAATAAAAAATACAGCGTTTCTCACAGCAAATCTTAGCTCTAAAAATTGGCCAGTAGGCGAGTCGAATATAAGTACAGAAATTAATATAACAGTACGTATTTGTAGCATTTTGTTGAAATAGTTTACTTAACTACGTGAATTAAGGAAAAGAGCGTACTTAACTTTAAACGCAACAATACAATGTTTTTGAACTAATTCTCTTTCGATAAGATTAAATAAATATGTAAGATAAATGTATTTTGTAACCACATTATTTTGTACAAAATTTAAACGTAAATTTTCCCCTTTTCAAATAATTGGGAAAAATGTACATTTTTAATGTTTTCTCTATTATTCGTTGTGTTTTGCGATCATGTCATTCCGTCAAGTGATGTCTACCTATGTTAATTGCTTATCATATCAAACAAGCGTTAAAAATTTTTTTAACTCATTTAGTGTTTATGTTCTTTTCAAAATTATGCAAATTTTAGACATTGAAAAAAACACAATCTAACTACTGGCAAATTATTTTCAATTTCATGCAACGCCAGTGTATTCTAATTGTTGAAATAGTGTGAATAGCTATGAAATAAATAAATAAATAAATAATAGAATACAAACCTTTCAATGTAGCAACGAAAATATATCGGCTAATTTCCACAACAAAGTTGAAAAACATCTTTAAAGTAAATAACAACTTAAATCTTAATTGTACAAAATATATTTATGTAGATACGATTATAAAACAATTCTGTAAAAATATCGAAGGTTTAGTTTTTTTATTGAACAAGCCACATAACCGTTTTACGAAAATTCTAAAAGAAACATTGTATGTTACAGTCTTGGAATACGGAAAACATATTGCTTTCTCAAGTTATTGGATGGGTTTATATAAGCACCCAACAAGGAAACGGGATCTTAAATGAATTACATTCAGTCCTGATGAACGGACTTGAAAGGTGTCTTTTAGTATCTAATTATTAAGGAAGCGGATACCTGTGTAATGGTGATATGTTGATATAGTTGTGATGTTTCTTTAACTTTCCTTTACGTCATTTTTTATACAGTCACTTTATGTTTTCAATTTGTTGCTGTCTTTTCTTTAAGTAAGTACCGAATGTTTAAAGTTGATGTTTTTTGTCATTCATGAGATGTTATGGATGGACAGTTTATACTTAAGTATAAATTTATAATAGGTTCAAACATGTATGTCAAATATATTTGGTTACCAAACTTTATAGGGGCGACCGTGGCCGAGTGTTTAAGGTCGTTGTCTTCAAACCACTCGTCCCTCGCCGCTGTAGGTTCCTATCACGGAAGGGTCTTTGGATTCTTTCATGTGATGTCCAGCTATCCAGCTAACTTACGGAACGTCGGTGGTTCTACTCAGCTGCCTGAAATAATACATGGAGGGGTACCTGATATCCTCTCTCGAATTTAAAGCAGGAAAGTCGCCATATGACCGCTTCTTTTTTGGTGGAACGTAAAACCCAACCTAACCTAAATACACTTTAAGACATTCAAACGGAGAGATATTGATGACTTGACTTACAAATGATCAACTTCCCGTCAATTAAATCAGTACTAATATGACTTAATCTAATTAGTCTATATCTTAAATCTCTGTTATAATTAAATAATAAAATTCTTAACTTATTTTTGTTTGATACGGGTATTCGTTACCCTTAAAGAGGTAGCATTTCCCAAACATACCGTAGTAATGGCCGTCTCGCTTCAAATTTGATATTCCATCGGTCATGGTGAAGAAATTTGTTGAAACCTCTTTGAGCGTCATGTTCCGTATTGTAACGAAAAAAGTATCTAATACCGGTAGTGTCCTTAGAAGGTGTTACACATAATTCTATTTTTACCATTGTACAAGTTGTATCATATATCTTTGTTGATAATAACGGTCGCTGGTTTTTATTGCCAGTTAGGTATTTAACAAAGCATGTCATCCACATGTACAGCAATAAAAAAATACTGTTTTTCAGCTACAAAATCATTTGAAAAGAAAACAATTCGTTATGCTGTATTCTGGATTTGAAGGTTTTATTTCATAGAAGTTCTTAAGTCTAAAATCAGTCTTAAGATCAAAACTGAGACAAGTTTGCTTTTTAAAGAAAATATCCTAACTTAAGACTCCTATTTAAAGATTCCTTTAATTTCCGAATAGCAATGTGGTTGAACATTAACACATTTTGATTAAATCGGGTGCCAGTGTAATTCTTACTTTTTCTAAAGATAATTAATTTAATTAAAATCTAAAATCTTTAACCAAAGATAAAAATGAGCCGCGTCACAACAAAACCAACATAATGGGTTTGCGACCAGCATGGATCCAGACCAGCCTGCGCATCCGCGCAGTCTGATCAGGATCCATGCTGTCCGCTTACAAACCATGCTGTCCGCTTACAAACCCTATAACAAGTAAAGAAACTGATAACGAACAGCATGTATGGAACGCCGTGACTGTCTTATGATATCAATGTTTTTGCTATCTTGTGAAATGATGATATTATTTTGTCATTTAAGCATATCAACATGTGCAATTTACATCATATATTGTCTAAAGACAATGCTGACGTGTTCAAACAGCATGTTAACTTGTCAAATAATCATTATGACATGTGCAGACAACAGGTTAACTTGTCAAAGTATCATGATGACTTGTGCAAACGACATGTTAACTTGTCAAAATATCATGATGACTTGTGCAAACAACATGTGAACTTGTCAAAATTTCATGCTGACATGTGCAAACAGCATGTTAACTTGTCCAGTTATCGTGATGATATGCTCATATTACCTTAACAAGTTAACATGTGTTTTGCACAAGTCATCACGATTCTTTGACAAATTAACATGTTGTCTGCACAAGTCATCATGATAATTTGACAAGTTAACATGGCATTTGCACAAGTCATCATGATACATTGACAAGTTAGAATGGAGTTTGCACAAGTCATCATGATACCTTGACAAGTTAACATGCTGTTTGCACATGTCATCATGAAATATTGACAAGTTAACATGTCGCTTTCACAAGTCAACATGATACTTGGACAAGTTAGCATGTTGTTTGCACATGTTATCACGATGATTTGACAAGTTAACATACTGTTTGCACATGTCTTCATGAAATTTTGACAAGTTAGCATGGCATTTGCACAAGTCATCATTATACTTGGACAAGTTAACATGTCGTTTGCACAAGTCATCATGATACTTGGACAAGTTAACATGCTGTATGCACATGTCATAACGATAATTCGACAAGTTAACATGCTGTTTACACATGTCATCATGGAATTTTGACATGTTAGCATGGCATTTGCACAAGTTATCATAATACTTTGACAAGTTAACAGTACGTTTTGACATGTCAGCATGATACAAGATAACATGTCATTTGCACAAGTCATCAAGATTCTTTGACAAGTTCACATGTTGTCTTCACAAGTCATCATGGTAATTTGACATGTTAAATGCTGTTTGCACAAGTCATCATGATACTTTGACAAGTTAACATGCTGTTTGTACATGTCATCACGATAATTCGACAAGTTAACATGTCGTTTGCACAAGTGATCATTATACTTTGACAAGTTATCATGGCATTTGCACAAGTCATCGTGACACTTTGACAAGTTAACATGCTTTTTGCACATGTCATCACAATAGTTTGACAAGTTAACATGTCGTTTGCACAAGTCATCATGAAATTTTGACAAGTTACCATGTCATTTGCACAAGTCATCATTATACTTTGACAAGATAACATGTTGTTTGCACAAGTCATCACGATACTTTGACAAGTTAGCATGTTGTCTGCACATGTCATCATAATAATTTGACAAGTTAACATGCTGTTTGTACAAGTCAGCATGCTCCTTTGACAAGAGATGATGTAAATTGCACATGTTAACATGCTCAAACGACAAAATAATATCATCGTTTCACAAGATAACAAAAACATTGATTACATAAGACAGTCACGGCGTTCCATAAGCATGGATCCTGATCAGACTGCGCGGACTGTCTTACGTCCTAGTGCTAACGATATACTAAGGACTTTCTATGAAACGCTGTCAATATGGCACTATCTGCCATAAGGAGTATCTAAAGATAGCATAACAAAATGAATGCAGGAGAGTTTCTAAAAAGATTTTAAATTTCTTTTATTTGATTATATTTACATAGCGTATATATGCTTGAATGATATGTATTTACAGCCGACTGTTACTAAATACAAAACATAACCTAATCAATAAACATAAAATAACTTCATTTAAATTTGTCTTCTACATTTTCTGTCAGAACATTGTTGACAATAAAAGCAAGAATACGTAATAATTGATGGTACAAACACATGTTATTACACATACATTTGTATTCCATCTTCCATATCTTTTAAATAATGTATTCTTCTGAAATAAATTTATTTATTTATTTATTTATTTTTGTTTTTGTTGGTTTTTTTATTTATTTTTTATTTGTTCTTTATAATTCATTTTTCTTATTTATTTTTTCTGATTTCTTTTTTCATTTTTATTTTATATATTATCTTTATTTGTGACAGACAATCTGTCACATAATGCATAACTTTTATGTGCCCATTTAATGTATGCTTCATCGTCCTTTTACGTAGGTACCTTTCTTTGTATATTAACATATTCAAAATGAAAAACATATACATGCATAGTGAATTTTAAATAACAAAAATTCCCTTTTCCAGCATGATCTGAAATGACGAAGTAGTATTGATTTGATGCAAACACATATCAATACACAAAATTTTGCAATATTTAGTTGGGTTTTTTTTTCTCTTTTTTTTATTCGTTTTTTTTAAACTCATAATAATTATTTCGTTTGCGATTGAACAAGGCCATGCATTATTGTTTGTATGAATACAATATAATTGTTTTCTGCCAAAAAGCAAATATTTACAATAAAAGGTAAAAACGGTACATAAAAACTTTGACTTTTATAACCATTCAAATAGTTTCCTTTAGACTATTAATATCTTCAGATGAACTTCCTGGTACGAAAATATTTAGGTTCGAAGGTATTTATCAATGTCTTATTAATGTCAACAAGCTGAATTTGTCCGATGTATGAAATTAAATGTCGTCTGCTACGTTACCGCAACTTCATAGGCTTCATTAGGATATATTTTTTTTGTATATACAAGTTGACTTTTACATGTTGAAAAATTGAAAATAGTTTATATATGTATATGTTAAAAGTGCAATTCCTTTCTGTTATATATTTTTCGTACTGTTTGTTTTATCAACATTTGCATTTTTGTTTGTTCGGTTTTATGTAAAAGGTTTTATTGTTGTTGTCTTTTTTTAAATTGTAAGTATGTGCAAGTACATGTATTAATGTCATGTCTTGTACATACTTTGCTATTAGATTTCATCTTCATACCTCCAAATATTTTTTTTTAAAGTTTGTTTTTCTCTACGGAAGAGCATTAGTGCCAGGTGTATGTTTTTTATTAACTCGAAATTTCGAGTTACTAACTCGAAATTTCGACTTACTAACTCGAAATTTCGAGTTACTTATCTCGAAATTTCGAGTTAGTAACTCGAAATTTCAAGTTAGTAACTCGAAATTTCGAGTTAATAAAAAACATACACCTGGCACTAATGCTCTTCCGTATTTCTCGCATGCTAATAAATCGAGACAAAATAATAGTTTTTTGTTTAAACCGCCTGGAAATAAATTTAATTTTTGATTTCCAAATATTTAAAGGTTCGGCACGCATATATCGCTTCCAATTTTTTCTTTTAAGATTTTCCAGTAACACACTTGCTGTGTATTTAAAGAAAAA